TAAGAGATTCCTCAAAACCCAACTTTTCTTCTTATCCATAGACCCTGAGCCACTTAATTTCTCAACATCTTACCTGCTCATTATGCTTTTGTAAACCACAAATGTGTAAGGGATCAAGCCAACCTTTTACCCAAATTCTTTTTATCCATCTATCCTAGAATAATTCAGATGGCAGCCAATTTTTTGTTTTATAAACAGGTTTGCAAGACTACTCGTAAATTTTGTCTCTGGAGCCGATTTTGATTAACTCTCAATGTTTTGAGTCAATTAAATCACTGTTTACCAAAAAAACACAAAATTTGGCCTTATTCCACCATAAAAGCGTAACTAATTCAGCCCTAAATCCTTTGCAAAGAAATAACATTTTTCGCGTGAATACTTGTTAACAAGCTTAATGTAGCTTTTGAAGTCTCAAAAACTTGCCTCCCGAGACAACAGGCATCACTTCTCGTCCTCTCTCATCCCAATGTCTACCAACCATAGAAAATTGCTATTCTACATATTTAACTTGTGATTTTACATAAAAGTAATTAGTTCTTAAATAAAGTATTTTTTGCCAAGAAGAGACAGCCAGCTGGCTAAGACGATCGTAAGTCTTGATTAATGCAAAATATAATTAGACCTTCGTTGCATAATTAAATAATTTGCAGACCTTCATTCGCAGTCAATATAAGTCCTTAGAGGACGGAATGATCAGACCTAAATTACAAAATCTCTTGATGCGTTGTCACTCTGCTCGTACAGAGGCTTAGAGATTGGTAATCAAAAGTCTACCTGAAATCACAAGGGTTTTAGGTGAAATTACACTGCCGATTGCCACAGTAGTATTATTTCTCTGTCCGTCATTTAGTACAAACAGCATTTTCGAGTAATATTCCCCTTTAAGGAGTTTTCGCCAAATTTTGCATGCCTACTTCTTGTCTACCCATAAATAATTATTTAATTGTAATCACTAGCAACCAGTCTTTCTTCTATGACTATGTAAACTCCATTTATGCATTCAGTTTTAGAGGTGGGACTTCGCAAAGCCTCGATTCGTGGTTTGGGAACTGGGGTTGATCCCTAACGGGCTAAAGTGACAACATGAGATATATTCACCCTATTTTGTTTAAGGTGATGAAGAACTGGTAGTGGGAAAATTCTATAACCAGTACTTGATCGCCTTAAACGAAATATGGTGAATACATCGCTTATTACTGATTTACTGATAATCTCGAAACTCTACTTACATACGAAAAATAAAGTGGCAACATTGAGCCTTCGCTGTATTTCATTGTGAGCATAGCAATTATCGTTTCATACATGGTCAATGGGCGATTTTTGAACATTGTTGTCTAAAAGATAACCATGCATATTTGCTAAGTTTTGTTGTGTTTTTTCCTATTTATGTTCACATTTTCAGGCAGACATCAGTGAGCCGATTAGAAATGCTTGTCCATCTCTCGGATCGTGGAAAGACGCTTGAATGTCGCATTGGAAACGGACAGGAGTTTGTCAACTCCTACCTACCCAACATTTCATCCGTAATTGACGTTTTGTGTAAGCTCTAAACAATATAACGGTTGTTTTACACAAGGGACTTTTGCTGTCGTCTGTAGCAATCGAAGCTCATTTTTGCGTCATTTTTTAAGCATACCCACTTCGGTACCGGGTTCAGAGAGCCAACGGGTCTGCAAGACGCCTCAGGCCCTCTGAACTCTTTTCCTTATTTCCCACCAACTCGAGGTCGTGAGACTGCAGATAGCCTTTTCTATTCGGACGTTAAGTCAGAATAAGCTATACGTTATCCAATACCAGCAGATCATAGAGGTTTCCTCGTTTTTAGTACATATTCCGGCAAAATGATGACTCGGAGGCAGATTCTGTCCCTGAAATCAGTAGCTTAATAAATACAAGAAATAGGTGGAATATAAGATGTTAACAGAAATCTAAGTTTTTATTCGAAAATTACCTATACTTACGGGGAGAGGAACTGTATCATGGATGAGAAAACCTTTTGATAGGCAATAATTAGTTACTAGGAGGTATGAAGACCAAGATGGTATGACTTTAAGTATGTTCGCGGTCTCATTTCCTTGTATAGAAGTTGTTTGGCCTTGTTTTCGCAACGTCTGGACCTCTGGAACTTGTCCGAGGGCCATAGTATCCATGATAATGTACAGAGTGGCAGTGTGAAATAGGCACATTTCCCGAATCAAAAGGGCAGACTCAGATCAGCATTACCAGCAGAGTGGGTGAAAATGAGGCAACCAACTCAAAGTGGTACAGTTGAACTAATTTCAAATAAGCAAACAAGAAATTGTGATAGAGAGGCAGCGATACGAGGGAAGAGGAGAGGTGAATGTACTAACACAGAAAGAGAGATACCACACGTGTTCAGTATACACTTGGTCAAATGATCGGCTTAAGTTGTCTCTTTGACGAGTTGCAGCATGAGGTTAAAAATGGCAAGTCTCACTGACGACGCATGCAAAATTTCTGGAAATGTATCCAGTCTAAGGTCGGATTGTGCAAATTATCAACCATTCCAGGGACTCCGAAAGCGGTGTGTTCTTCTGTGTCGTCCTGGCAATATGATCAAGTTGCGAAAACAAAGTCAAACAATATTAAAACTTAGTTAAAGTGAATTGCATCAAGTGGGACTGTGGAAAAATATTCACTATCAATCTCTAAATTGTCTAAACTGACCTAGACTTGCAGAGTTCTTATCCCAAAACATCTGATGGCAAAATGTATAATGAAAGAGAGGAGGGATGATATCAGTCTTTTGAGAAGCATGACATTTGGAATAAATCAAACATGTTCCCCATTTCATCGTGGATAGACTGACTATCATTCCCAAAGTAATGTATCTAATCGTGAAAGTATCCACAGCATGCAGTATTCTGATGGCAATGGCATAAAAACTGTTGTAAACTTTATAGATTCGTACCGTATGTGATTGGCTGCCAGTGACAGTTGAGTCTGTTGCACCAGCATTCCTGTTTTCATTGAAGACTGAAGCGTCATAGCAACCAGTTGACATGTCAGTTAGTAAAATGGGCCTAGTAAGCACTTAATTAATGTCTGTTCTCGCTCACATTTGGTAACTTCATTACAAAGTTTATGCAAAACATGTATGGGAAGCAAAGGGTGGAATAGTCCATATTTGAGGTTTCTAAATACGCCGGAGTGTCCTCAAATCAGTTAAATACTCTTTATCATGACTTCTCCAAAGCTCTCAGTGGCTGCCATTGTCAGATAAATAGGTTTCACGTTGCTCATTTTTGGCAGAAAATTTGGTTTTATTGCCAATAATGGATTATGATGGTGCAAAAAACTTGGCTTTGATTTGATGTATATAAGTCGACATAATGAAACTGCAAGAAAGGTCGGGATGGCGCCTGTTTCAGCATTTTTCTCCCAAGCCTGTGGTACATCCAATTCACTATCTCTTGCTCGTTACTTATTTAATCTTTCAGTCATTGAAAAGGTGACGCTCGGATTGGAGAAGCCGCCCGGTCTGGTCGAGCATCCTGACGAAGAGAGCGAAATGATAGAAGGCACGGTATCCACCTTTGTCTGTTCGGCTGCCGCGATAAACCCAAAGAATGCTGTCTACAGGTTGGAATCATCACCTTTTACCTTCCCTAGAAGAGGTTTTTTATGCATTATTAACCAAGGTTAAAATAAACCATATTCAAAATTGACTATGCTTCGAAAGTATCAGTTGCTTTTCAATAAGAGAATGCCTCATGTCAGGCCGCACAAAAGGATATAAAGGGCAATATTATTATTTACCACGATTAACTGATTATAAAAACCCATTCATGATCTACTTATATACTACTTACTTTGAATAGAATATGTTGATCGACTTTAACGGTAAATCATTGTTCGTCATGTATACAATAGGCTTGCCAGAGCAATGGTAATGATGTAAATACTGATCTGTAAATTTCTCATAATCAAAATCTTTTGATAGCTCTAAATCCTCCTATTTTACACAAAGCTGTGTCATCTGCTTGTATGGTAAATACCGGTTTGTCGCATAGACGAGAGGCCCTTTAAGGAGTTAATTATGATGTGCAGGCATTTTTCAACATCATTTTGAGAGGGTTGCGATTCTGTCGGAAAGTGGTAAACTCCATTAAGGTGCAATACGAAAGATTCGCTATTGTGAGTACAGATTTAACTTGTAAGAATGTGTGATTATTAATTGGTATCATTAAAATATGGCACGAACCTTGTTCCAAGACTCCACATTTACCACTTTATAAGCTGATATTAGAGATACCAAAAGCTTTTCATTCTTCTGGGCAATAAATCGACTTCAATGCTGATTATTTTAATACTAGCGTACCTTTATTTAGTTTGAGAGGGCAGGTTAAAGGGTTTCAAAGATTGGTCTCACAGAATACCGAAAAAAGGTTGCCTCGGACTTTTGTTTGTTGAATTGTACAAAAAAGAGCTCCGCTCACCGACCTAAAATCCCGATGACTCTGTGCTAAGCTGTTGTCCGTCATGTGAAGGACATCGTCAGAGTCAGAAACCATTAATCACAAAAAAAGCACAAAAAAACACAACAAAAAAGATGGCCAGCTGAGATCTTACCTACTTCTTGACCTCATTTCCCGATCCGAATGAGGCATTCCATGATTTGGTTGGCTGACTTGGCTTCTCCTACATGCATGCAAGCGGATCAAAGTGATGCTGGCATGGAAGCGAATGTAATCACAACTTCTGCCTATGTAAATAAACTAAAGTATGATCCCCTAGTCCTGGATCCTGTTATAGCTTCATGGATACGTGTCTGCGTGTGTATGCAACAACCCGGAGTTTGTTGACAATTTTAAGTTCAAAAAACATACTCCTGCTTAGTCTAGTTTTCTCCTATTACTCTTCCTGTTCAATTTTCTTCTCTCTCTCTTTCTCTCTATCTCTCTCTCTCTCTTTCTCATTCTATTTAGACGCAGGAGATAGTTCTTACCTAGTTTCCTACATTCGTTCCTCTTATTTAGGATGTTCTTTGTTTTATTAATTTCAATTGACTATCTGATCTTCCGTTTAGCTGTGCAGTCCCCATATCCGGAAAAACGTTGGGATTTAGACCATTCTATCTGGTTTCCTGTAGCGAACACATGTTTGGTTACTTCAGATTTCTAAATCCATACATCTTTGCAGGCGGTTCTGTGTTCCGATAGCCTCTTATGTATGGGCCGATAAGTCTCCCCTACACAAAAACTAACATATGAACACAAAACCGTATAGCAACCTGATCCACAAAGGGCGTCGGAAGATTCTATAAAGGAAGGCATGATCGAGGAAGGCATTATTGTTCCTTGAGGCTCCATTTCCTCAATAATTCCCAATAGGTTACACTTTTTAGATGTTCTAGTTAATAAAGAAGGAAGCAAACTGAGTAGAGATGTATAAAGGAAACCCACAAATGCTGTTTTCCTTTTTAATTCCTTCTAGAATCATCCTTATGCTGTTAAGGTAGGCGTAAAGAAATCATTAATAATGAGGTGTTTACGTCTAGCGGATTTTAATCCTAAAGTACTACATTTAGACGGGCTAATAAAAATGTTAGTTTATAACAATTATCCGGTAGGATTAATTGTTAACAGTTTTAAAATATTGAGAAATAGGATGAAGAAAAGCCATTATTTTGGACAAAACAAGGAATTAGATAACTCTTCAGCCAGGTTCTCAATGCCACCATCCTACAAGCTTTCAAGAAAAATAGGCGAATTCTTGAGGAAATGGAGCCTCAAGGAGCAATAATGCTTTCCTCAATCATGGCTTCTTTTAGAGAATTCCCCGCAAATGTGGAAGATAACCTTCGAATTAGCATCGAATAGATTAATTTGTTTTGCAAGACATTGCTCTCTCGATGTGCTGAGTTAAGTAAGAAATGTCCTCCTCCTATTCGAGTTCCATCCGTTCAACATTCAATGATGCCTTTGGAGGTCTGTTGGCGTATCTGATTAGTGAAATAGAGCATGACGACACAATCGCGCTCTCTTGTATTCATTTAAAATAAGCTGTAGTGCTGGTATGAGGAAATAATTGCCTGAATTGTCATCTTACGTCCTGATTTCCCTTATGTGGTATTTCCCGAGAGGTTGGTGTTAAATTCAACTCCTTATAATCCTCACTTTTCACGACCTGACTGCGAAGCCTGGCTCTATTCATGGCTCAGCAAACGACAGTTCATGCAACCGAGCTAAAATCTTTTGAAGATATGAAGACAAAGATGTTGTGGCCTCTGGTATGGTCGCAGTATCTTTTCGATTTATAGAAGTGGGTTGACTTCATTGTTGTCAGGGCGACTTAGTAGAACGCAACTAGTTCGAAGTCGTCTGCGATAGTAGTTGTCATGCTTCCCAGCATCAGACAGTGGACTTTGTGCATTCTCAAACGAGTTAGTAACTTGGCGCAGAGAATGGCAAAACTGACTGATGATACCGACTAGGATGCCAGGGAAACGCTTGAGAATGTACCAAGTTCACCGTCTGATGTTGGTAATCATGACAACTAATATGGTAGACAACTTCGGACTAGGTTTGTTCAACATAGTCCCCCTGACAACAAGACCAAGTAGCGACAACGAGGTCAACCCACTTTTAAAATCTTTTGGTTTACCGAAAACAAGGCCTAATTGACAAGACCTCTTTGAAGATGTGCAGGCTCTAGGAGACAAAAGTTAAGTAAAATCGTGAGGCTAGGATACTTTCAAGCCTCATCTTTTTAGCTTGGACAGTCTTGGAAGGACGTGTACTTTGCTTCGTCCAGGTCCATCCCCGAAAGTGCTCATTATGCGTCGTTGTCGTCACTCTGACTCTTAGCCAGATTTTCGGAATGTGAATTCCACAAATGCAGCTTCGTCACCAGACACTCGGCTCAGATGGAGTCTGTCAGGCAGGAAAGATTGTCCTTTGTCATTTACAATTCGTGCCAAAAACTTTTTCATGAATTTCGTCTGACCTAAAGCAAGAGTGGCCAGTCTTGCTTCGCCGACCACCTGATTTGACCGCCTCGACGACTCAGCTCAATCCTGATGGTGGTCGCGATAGTCGCCAAGCGAACCTTCAGGTTTCTGTCACTTCTAGCCTCCTCCTCAAAGCATTGTCGACTTGTACTGCCTCGGTCATAGAAAGAGGAGGTTGATTCGGTCTCTTTTCTGTACCTCTTTTGTGCTGAGGTAAGCCGTTCAAGTCAGGCCAACTAAACTCACGAGACTGCAATGCAAAAATGTGATTTCACCTCAAGAGACATCATAACGCATCTTGAGAAGTCAAGGGTATGTACAATTTAATGGAAGCCTCGGCTTTACTCATATTATTGTGGGAAAATTGTACTACCAGTCATTCATCATCTTAAACAAAATGGGCTGAACACATTTCGTAGCGATCATAATGTAGTCAACCGAAATCGCTTACGCTGATTTA